CATGGCCTTCAGGAATTACAAGAGTACAATTATTCCTTGAAGAAGATGACATATATGCCAAAAGGCTCAGGTGTCTTTTGTGAATAAGTAAATCTCCTCTGCTTTAAAAACTGTTAAGAAAAGGATCTATTCAGGAATCTTGCAAATAGTATTTTAATACTGCTAAACTTCTCAAGGATTTTTTTCCTTCTGGACACAATGCAGGAGCAATAGCTATTAGAATTCTTTGTTTCTGATAACATTTGTATTCTTTATCAGTTAATTTTGCCTTTTGCAATAGGTTCCTTGCAGGCATTTTTAATGATATAAAGCATTTCTTTGTAGTCCTGATTGTTTTTATAACATCAGACCTTTAAAATAGCCCTACTTTATTATGTAGTATTATTTATATAGCAATATAAATATGCATAGCACCCTCCAGGCATAAGAATACCCCTTAAAAGTAGCAATAATCTGCAGGCACTGCTTCTGGACCTCAATACAGCATGTTCTGGATATCGGGTCAATTAGATTTTCAACCTCCACTTCCATTTTCTGAAGTAGTATTAGCTAAAAGAGAGGTGGACCTGCTATAATGCTGAAGGATACTGTGGAAAATCAAGGGTCAATTTTCTTTTAGAGAGTGGAAGATGATAGTTTTTGACAGGTACCGTCAACTTCAGCTTTTTGCAATAAAATGGAAAGTGTGTACTGCATTTTACATTTCCTAAATAGATTACCCGACACATAACACACATGCACTTGTCAAAGCTAATGGCATTCTTTCTGCTGAACCTGACGAATTCCAGTCCTAAATCTAAACAAGAATAAATCTTGGCCAAATGTTGACATTTTACCCTCCTTCTGGGCCTGCCTCTCCAGGGAGCAGAGGAGTAATTCCTCTTCTCCAGCATCCTGAGCTGTAACAATTAGTTCTATCAACCCTGCAGAATGCAGTGTCCTCACAACACAGCAAGCTTGCTCTAACAGAACATTTTCTGTCAAGTCCACAAAACTAAAAGTGATACTACAGCTTTCATTCATATTAATGTTTTGTGGTTTTGGTCTACAGTGAACTCAGAAATTTTGCTTGCCATAGACATGTTTCAGATCAAGTATTTTAAAAGTCAAGCTGAACAATTCTTGTCTAGTTTAAGGTTTTCTGTTCACAACTAATTGTACAGCAAGGTAAAGTACTCAGCCAGAAAAACCTTCGTGAAGTAAAATGCATCTCTAAAAATTCAATTTTGCCATCATGGTATAAAAACTCTAGAGGAGCCCCTGGTGGTCTAGTGGTAAGGGCGCGGCGCTGTCACCGCCAAGACCCGGGTTCGATTCCCGGTCAGGGCCACTCCCGGGCAGGTGGAGCTCGTTAGCCCTTAAAGGCAACCCACCTACGTCCTAAGGACCTCGCTGCCACCGTCCAAGCTCGCTTGGCCCCGGCAGATGAACCTCAGGATTAAAGGGTGGGCTCAGTTCCGCGCACACTGTGTCTCACCTAAAAAATCCAATGCGCAAGCTGGAAGGTGTAAAGACCTTCCCCAGATCTTCGCTCGTGAAGACTGGCCATTATTATTATTATTATTATATTATAAAAACTCTATATGCAGTGCTAATTGTAGATATGCCTCTATTTGCCATCGTTTGTCATTGCCCTAAAATACAGGGATGTGTTCCCTATAATCAATAACATGCATATGCTCTGCAGGATAGTCAGCTGTGTGTCTTCTCTATTTAGCCAAAATGTCCTGGGAAAAGACTTTGTATGTGAACCCTTGAGCATCATATTCAGCTGTTGGACTAAGTATTTTAATGCTGACATCCAAGGAAAAAGCAGTTCTCCAGCAATCAAGGCCTCCTGATACCACTTGCTGGCTCCTGGGAAAAACAGAGAGTGGACTGTAGGAAAGCTTGCCTGTCCTGGCTGTCTTTTCGAAGATTTCCTACAGTTTGCTGCTTTTCTTCAGGCTTTAGGTTTCTAGTTTCCTTGGATTAAATAAAAATCTTAGCTTTTAATGAAACGTCTCTGTGGTTGAGGAAAGAAAACTTAAAAGCACAGAACCTTAAAATCTGGAAAGCAACAGTGAAATAATAAAGAATAAACAGGTGTTTTCAGGGAAGGGAAGACAACACTGCATTGTTTTAATTTTATACTTTTTAATACTATTTCTTTCATAGAAGAGAGTTTTAGTCCATCTAACATTACCAAAGAAATAATGACATGGCTGACTGGGATTGTGAGTATCCTTTATAGTGAGAAAGGAGATCTAATTCCTCTCATTTTTGGTAGTGCTGTTCAGTTGGAAATAAAGGTTCAGTGCAGAATGTTCCTCTACAGAAGTTATTTTGGTTTATTATTGTAATATCCTGAAAAGCACAGGTGAGGGAGGTTGTATGGCAATTGTTAATATTCCACTTACCCACTGAGGGATTTTCTCAAAACAAGAGAAAGATCATTTTTATCTTAATAAAAATAAAAGGAAATAAAACAAAAGAAAAGAAAATCGTTGTTATAGCTAGAGGCAACAGACAAAAAAGCTTTATTTTGACAAATTAATTTTCTCACTCCTTTTCCTGCTTTCTCCCCTCTCCCACTGGTGAGGAGGGAGGGAGCCACCAGTTGTGTGGGTGCTCACTTGCTAGCAAGGACCAATGCATTTCAGCATCAGGCACAGCTGGGAATGTGAGGCAACTATAAACATAAACCATCAGATAGAATAGGCAGCTAGTATTTGGCGGGTCTAGAAAAACACAACTACTGAAACAAAATTCTTATGCAGGATTTGGGAAGTGTTGAGATTTGGTGGGCTTTGCATGTTTCAGGGGGTTGAATACATTGGCATTCTGATGTTTTAGCATTTACTTAGCAACTACAACACTGAATAAAGTAGGGCTGGAAGCTGATCCTTTTTCCTAAATCCAGCTAGCCCAGACTTACTCATACATATGCTGCCCATGACAAGCCTCCGCTAAGCTAGAAGTAGCTAAGTAGCTAGGTTGATCCTAGTGGAGGCAGTATGCATGTCCTTACTGCTTAAACTCCTAGTGTCCTGAGAGCCTTAGGTGGTACTGCTGTGACTCTAAAACTTAATTATTATTTTAGGGGATATTTCAGCTCAGTGTGTCTGAAGGAATATGAGGGATGGGTTGCAGCCCATGGCGTTGTGTTTTAGTGGCATGAAACAGAAGGGCTGATGAGTGATACACTGTGTAGTATCACAAAGAGGCACATGGGATGCGTTTGAGATGCAGAGATTGCTGGGTCAGTGCTGGAGAGATGATTAGGGGGAGAAGGTTAAATCTGTTACAGTCATTAATACTGACTTTCTGGGGGACATGTCTGGTGTGAACCAGGCCTGGATGCTGTGCTGGAGAGTTAGTTTGGATTGTCCGCAACAGAGCTATGAAAAAAATGAGCATTGAAGAGATGTGGGTGATTGAGCTTCCAGTGCTTGGGTTCATTTTACATCCCTCTTTTTCTGAGTAATATAGATGTGAAGTACTTAGATTCTACAGTTACTGTTTTCAGTCAAAAGTTTCTAAATTTCAACAGAAAAAAGATATTAGATCTGAATTTTACATAACATTGTAGGATAGAAGATACAACAGCAGTGGCCACGTTAATTATAATCAATTTTTGTAATTAAATATGAGTTATTAAGACATCAATCTGCTTGGATAAGAAAACTCCAGATGTCGAAGCTGAATTTTTACCAGACAGAGTGTCTGTAGGCACAGCTGTTATCACACAAATGTTTGCAGTCCTCAGACATGACTGTGGTGCTTCTAGTGCCTCTGTGTCTCCTGCATTGACCCAGAAGTTCTATGTAAGGGCGTAAACTCAATGTTTGCTTTCATTTGCCAGCACCTTGTACATAAACTGTTTGTGAAGAGAAGTGGTGCAAGGGATTACGCAGCACTTCATCCCTTTACAACGCACTGCCATTGCACTCCAGAGTCTCTGCAGAACGTTTTGTGTACAAGTGTAGGTGATGCCTGCTGCAGAGCATGTTAGGAGGGAAAGACCATTGATGCTGCCTCCTTGGGGCAGCCCTAGGAGATGCATCTTTCTGGATGTGGCAGCTCTGGGAGGTGTGCTGCTGGTGACAGGGTCCTATACAGTACCCCAAGGAGCATTACAACCACAAGGCAGCCTTTGGCTTTCCATATGGCATTTTGTTTTACTCCTTCCCCAGCACGTGTGGGGTGTGCTGTAAGGCCTAGATGGGCTGGGTGGTGAAGAAACCTGACTACACGATCATCGCTTCAGCAATGTGTTTTTAGTGCAGCTTGATCAGCTGACGACAAAAAGTGACAAAGTCTCCATGTGTGGAGCTGGATTTCCCCAGCTCTGCTGCATTAACCTGGAGTAGAATTACTGCTTCTTTTTTGCTTGGATTATAAATTGCCAAACATCCTAATTTTATTAAGGATATTAAGAAGACTGCTGTTATCCCAGCCTGCAGATGCTGTAGATACAGTATCGCTGGTCAAATGTGATAATTGAAGGGACCTGCATTTTTGATAAGTGGATCATGTATTAGTCTCCTATTCAGGTGGAATTAGGAAAGTCAAAATAAAAAAGTTTTTTGATTGAGCAGAACTGCAAGGCAGAATTAGAGCTGTGCAGGACCATTGCCTTAGGATTTATCTGAGGGTTAGTTTTCAGTTTCCATCTTTCTTTGTATACTTGTGCAAAAGAGAAACCAGTAAACCCCTGACAGTTATTCCCTCTGTCATAGGAAAATTTGACATGCTGGAGAATAAAATTGTCAGAAATACAGCATTCAGCTAGACCTCGCCATGCTTCTGCTTGTTGTCTGGTTTATTAGTACAGATCCGCTTTGCTCTCCCCTCTGTGACTCCTGTCGGCCTAGGTGCTGTGATTGAGATGATCAAACTTCAGCTTCAGCTGGAGGATGACTCAGGAACCAGTACATGTATTTGCACTCCCAACAGCTGAAAGTCCAGACAGGGGTGGGGCTAATGAGGAATTGAAACCAATGTGTTGTAACTCCAAAGTTTTGAGCCTTTCCCTAGCCTAATCAGCAATACTTGTGTCTCACATTGCAAAGTACTCTGAAAGCAATGTCTGGGATTAGAGGATGGAGGCAAGGCAGCAGGTACAGGACAGCTGCTGGCACTAGTACTCCGTTTTCCTCTCAGGGTTACCCCTTGGATGGCAACAACAAAACAGAGAAGGGTACAAACACCCAGAAGCTGACAACGTCTGGAGAGGAACAAAGCAGCCCAGCACCAGTCTACCAACAACAGCAAGAGCAGCAGTAAGTAACAAGGAGCCTGTCTAAGATGATGTTATGTGTGTTGGGTACCTGTTCTCCAGCTTGCCTGGGCTGTATACCTTTAAAGGGGGAAATACTTTATAGAGGGCTTGTGAATGGGACTGAGCGCACAAGCAGCATGTTGTCCTTTTCTTGGTGCTTCCAGCATGGGAGCCGAGTTGTTCTGGCAGGCTTTGGCATGGCTTACACCCTGTTCAATAGCAGTGGCCAGTTCTGTATGTTGCATATTGGCATATGTGGGATCTGTTTCCTGGCATCTTTTTTCAAAGTGAAATTTCAAATCTGGTTCTAGCTCTCTGTTTTCTCTTTCTCCTAATATTTCATTCTGGGAAGTCTAAAAATACTTTCTTTGGTTTAAGATATGGATATAGGCTGCATTCCAGCACTGATCTGAATGCAGTCAAGGACATAGAACAGCTCCAGCAACTTCATGCCAACAAAAGTAAAATAAAACTTCAGCCCTCAATTTCATTTTGTGCTTTATTCGAGTCTATGCTCAGTCCATCTCTGATTTTCCAGTAAAAATTTGGAGATAGCTTGTGTAAGCTGTGTCTTGCAGATATAGTACAGAATAGAAACTGAAAATAGTGTGTGTATATTTTATGCACATGTTTAATACAAATAGGTTTAGCTGGACATAGCTAATTGTTTAGTCTTTTTCTCCAAATATTCTTTCTCTGAGCTGTTAATAACAGTGCATGCAATGCTATTATTATTGTTATGTGCTGATCTCACGGCTTTCAAAGTGCAGCTGACAGGAACTGCAATCTGTTTTGGTTTCCTTTCCCTTTTTTCTGGATGGAGAAGGTGGAGCCACGCTGTGAAGGAGGTGGCAGGCTGGTGATGGCAAGCAGCGGATCAGCGGCTTTGGATTACCCATGAATACTTGCCTACTGGGTAGTAGTGGTACAGGGACTGTTGAGAGTTGGGTCCCTTTGAAATCCATCAGCACTTCAGTGACTGACTTTCAGCAGAGCGAACAAAAATTCCTTAGTTACAGTCTGTTTATTTTCTGCCACTTCCAAATGTAAAAGACCCTCTGTCTTCCCTGCCCTCATAATGCATTATATCTACAGGAGAATGAGAGCAGCCCTGGTTTGCTTGCATATTTGTGCTGTATGCAAATTTTTTTTTGATGTTTGGTTGGGGTTTTTGTTTGTCAGTTTGGTGGGTTTGGGTCTTTTGTATTTTTGGGGGGCAGGAGGATAGTGGGGGTTTTCCCATTGGCATAATTTTCCTTGCCCAGATTTTGTCTGAGATTCAAACCTCCTGGTATAGGTTAGGTGAATAATTTATCAATTGGTTAGCCAGAGTTCCCTGCAAAATTTAAGACCAGGGCAAATATAGTCACACGGATTTTGATCAGGATAGGAAAGCCCCTGAAACTAAGTAAGCTTTTGGGGAACATGAATTTTATGCCTTGTTCCCTTTTTCATCTTACATGATGCTTGCAGAGCTGAAAGTGTGCACTCACTGCAAGGACTGTGTAATATTTTTTTGCTATGTGATACAAAAGATTCTCTCTGTGTCTTCAAAAAGTTCTAATAAAGAATTAATTCCTAAATTTCAAATATACAAGTTAAAGTCTGCATTAGTATGTAGTTAATGAGGAAGAGGGATGAGGGAAAGACAGGTTTCAACAGAAACCATGTAATATGAGTGGTACAAATGCTCAAAAAAAGAAGAAAACAAAGCTGTAGTTTGCATTCTTCCTTTAAGGAGGGGGATACTAGCTGTCAATTTGAACACTTTGAAGATGTTTAAACTGCAATTTCCTTAACTAACACGGATTAAATTGGTAGATAGTATCTGAAATACTGAAGCAGACAAGGAGAGATCTTTATTCTCCAAACAAAATTTATTTTATTCATTATTACTTTGTTCTGGTATCCCAAGTTACATTTTAAGAAAGATCTCAGATAAAAATACCATTTTAGCAGTGATAAAGTTGACTCAGCCTTTTAGACACCAATCCTTTTAAACATGATCTTTAAAACTAAAATACTGGGACATCCTCAGAATGGTCCAGTTTTCAGGCTCTGGGATAACAGGTAGCTGAAGTCGACAGGAGAAGAAATAATATGCAGACTGGCATTAATTAAAGGCTTTCTGGAATACATACAACAGAGGGAACATGAGGGGCCCAAGTAAGATACCTCTGTGCCAAGGAGTGTCTCTATTCCAATTTCTGTGCTGCTTGCTATTTTTTTGGAAACAGGATATGGTTTTGCTGCCAGCAAAGCAGGAGCTGGAGTCTCCTTTGAAAGCTCTTGCGTGAGTGGATTCCATGCAAACTCTCAGTCTCAATCAGTCAGAGCAACTGGGAGTGGGAAAACACCTTAAAAGCATCTAAAGGTGGGATCAGGGGACCTTTCATGTAGACTGGACACATGAAATGTGTGTGGGACATGGCACATTGCAGTCTCATCCACTTCTCAGTATTCAAACTTGACTATTAAAAAGTACAAGGTGGGGAGCTGGTATTAGAGGATAATTTTACTTTAGAAAAGCCCTTATATAATATGTTGAGGCTGAGAAGTTACAATAAAATGGCCCTAATTAAGTTAAGAAAAATACATGTTCAAGTGCAAAATTGAAATCACACTTTGCACATCCCCCTCCAGTTATATATAGAATGTGGTCTCAGACCTGGAGAAAAAACTCACCAGGATGACAAGTGCTTGAAACTGCTTACAATAATAAGCTTGCATTTAAGTTACTTCACTTTGTCTGCTAAGTGCCATGAAATTAACTTGCAGCAAGTGAATTTTCAAATTGCCCCTGTTCATATCTTTTCAGAAACAAAAGTCTGTACAGAAGAAAAGGTGGAGGAAAGTGAGGAAATTAGAGGGTAAAGTATATCTAGAGCCTGAAAAAGAAACTGCTGCCCCCATTCAGCAGTCTGTCCTCAGCGCCTTTAAAGCTGGCAAGAATAATATTGGTTCTGGTAAAATCCATTAAAAAATGAAATTCAAGATAATAAAACCTGAGGATACATTGCCGCACAGCAGGTAACAGTCCCTCATCATTTTGTGTGAAAGGAGAGCAGAGTTGCTAGAATACTTGACTCAAGAAATTATATTCTTTGACTGCTGGAGCCAAAAATCCATAACTATCTTTCCTTCATTTTCCAATCTTCATCCTGAATTTAAAAAGAAAAACAACATAAAAAATATCTATAGTGTTGTAACACCCCTCAATCTTTTCCTGATAGACTATACTTAGCAGTTCTGAATTTTTTCTTTCATAATCTGAAGTTTCTTTAAAAAAAAAAAAAAAAACTACTCTACAAAACTGTAGGTGGATGCTTAGCAAAATGCTTGTTTCGCCCACTGCCCAACCACCAGTGGGAGTGCTAGAAGAGTAATTTGAATTATGGACAATCTGTTCAGAGTTGAACTCTATATTTGCTACACAGGAGAAATCTCCCAACTCTGTCTTTCAGGCTTATGCACTAATCTTTACAGTCCAGTGGGGCGATTCAGAGATACCCAGCTTTGTTGTGCTCAGGAGCTATCCCTTTCTCCAGCCAAGTGTTTGGTTGCAGGCCTATGTAAGACAATAGTTATAGTGTTAGTCTGGGTTGTGGGGGTTGCTGTGTTCATTATAATGCTTGGAGGAGGGAAGGAAGTCCTTCCAGCTCCTATATTAGAAAGTTTTTTGGAAGAGCTTGATTTACACAAGCCCTGACATGTTCCCTTGATGAGGAGCTGTGATGAGGTTATGAATGGGGAATTTATGGGAGGACGCTGTGTTTGGGCAGGGGCAATAAAAGGACAAATTCTCTGATTCGGAGGCAGCAGAGGAGGAAATACATTGTTGAAAAGAGAGGGGAAGCCGAGATGAACATGCCTCTAGCTCAAGTCCTAATCTTCATGTGATACAGCATCTGACCTGCTGAGCTCTCCAGGCACGCTGGCAAGACTGACTTGCAACACATGGATGCCTCTGCAGGGGATAGCTTGGCTCAGCGCTTGGTGTTGCCAAGCCCAGCGTCTGGCCTGCCCACGTATGGATGCTCCATGCCTCTCACAGCTAGTGATTACCAGGAGCTCCAGCTGGCTCTGGCATGCTGGCTACATCCCTGACACTGTGCTGCACTGAGATAACTTAGCTGCTCTAGGACCTGGGGGCAGCATAACCATGGCCATGTCTGACTTCATAGACTTTGCTGGGTCTGATGCTAATCTATAATACACTTCAGTGTGTTCTGCCCCTTTGGTGTAATCTGACCACAAGCATAGGCTGACTAATGGCACATTAGCGTTTCACAGAGGACAGAGAAAGCTGTGCTGTGGGCCAAGTTTGAGCTGAGAGCTACCCCTTGGCTCCCTGATTTGATCCATCATTGTGGCAATTTCCTTGGAGCTTTAGAACCTGGTTGAGATTGTCCAAAAGAGGGTGCTGGCTGAAGCACATCTTTCTGATGTGCTAAGACCAGACCAAGCTGCTGAGTGTGACCTCCATCTAAATTCTTGGAAATTCAGTTCCAATTTTCATTTTTAGTCTTTAGACCAAATTTTAACTTAAGGAATTTTTCTACAAGCATGTGGGTAAAAGCAGAACCTCAGGTCTGTTTCTTTCCTGCAGATTTCTGTCTTATACTTTCTCATGGGTCTCTCTCTGCTGCTGCTTCACTTCTCACTCTTTCCCTGTCCATATTCACTTCTTCATGATTTAACTCTTTGCTTTATCCCAAAGTCTCAAAATGTCAAGAGTGCTGGCAGTTCTAATGAAAGCTTTAGCTAACCAGAGGGACCAGATACAGGAGTGAGTTACCCTGGCTTAATAAGCTTCCGGCCATCATTTGAACTGTGGTAATTAAGTGCATTCCTGGCCTGTGGCAAACACAGGACAAAATCCACGGACACAGACTTTTGATGATAAACATTTCCTTCTAATGCAGTTCATTTTCTGCCTCTCATGCTAAGAGCACACACGCAGTGAGGGTGAATCCAACGGTGGGTAATGCTAAGCCCGAA